TATGCTTAATTTCGAGACGTGGTCCTGGCGTTTTGGTAGTCGCTCAATGGATGTGTCTGCATGTTATTTTATTATAAACGCTTCCATTCAGGCTCCGAATATCATTTATAGCAGGTTAAGTGTCTGTTTCTGATTAGGTCATGCCCAAAACCTTTAGGGGCGGGTTAGGGGCGTGACAAGTGGTATCAGAGCACGAGTTGCTATCTCACACACGGATCCATTGAGCTTTAGGATGTCTAGAAATTTGTAGGCATCATGTACTAAAGGAAGATTGAGAGCAACGTTAAATGTTTTCTGCTAATGTTAATGATGATGATCAATGTCTATTGCATTCTTTTATGTATGTTGTACTTGATTGTTGTGTAGATCATGGTGAGAACACGAACAGAGGAGCAGGAAGGTGCTACGGCTGCCCGGTTGGACAGGATGGAGAGAATGATTATGGAAATGGCAGAGACCTTACGTCGACAACAGCAACAGCAACAGCCACAGCAACAGCAACAGCCACAACGGCAACAACAACCACAAGAACAACCGCCACCACCACCAATACCTCCACCAGCAGTACAAGAGTTCCATGCTGAAGATAGAATCATTACACTTACAAAGGAATTTAAAAAGATGAAACCGCTAGTGTTTAAAGGCGGAATCGAACCGATGAAAGCTGAGGCATGGGTATTGGGAATAGAAAAGTTGTTCGAAGTTTTCCCTTGTACTGAAATCCAAAAGGTGCAGCTTGCTGCTTTTACTCTTGAAGATGAGGCGCGAAGGTGGTGGATGCTTACAAGAACAATGCATCAGGGGCTGACATGGGACAGATTTTTAGAGCTATTTTATGATAAATATTTTCCCCAGAGTATGCGAGACAAGAAGGTGACCGAATTCGAAACATTGAGACAAGGAAATAAAACTGTTGCCAAATATGAAGCTCAATTCGCGGAACTAGCCCGGTTTGCACCTCACATGGTAGATACAGAATACAAGAAGGCGCAAAAATTTGAGGGAGGATTGCGGAGTACTATTCTGGACCGAGTTAATGTGTTGAAGTTACCTACCTACGTTGATGTGTTAGAAAGGGCTGTTATAGCAGAAGGAAATATTGCTGCTCAGACTCAGATTTCTGAATGGAAAGGAAAAAGGCAGAGCAACCAATGGTTCAAGGGGTCAACTACTCCACCGAATAAGAAGCAAAATTCAGGGACCTCCAACACTACTACCTCTCCTCAAAATTCAGCTCCTGTGTGTCTAGAATGTGGATGGAGGCATCGAGGGATTTGTCACCGATTGTCTGGGGCATGTTTTCGATGTGGCAAAACGGGGCATTTGATAAAGGACTGTCCGCAAAAGAATCAACAAACTGGTAATAAGGCCGCCACAAGCTCAGCAGGGTCTACATCGGTTCCTAATGCCAAGTCAGCTGCTAAACCTGCTAACAATAAGGATACTACGAGGCAAGGTAGGGTATTTGCGTTGGTTCCGAGAGATGTACAGAATGCAACCACAGTGGTGTCAAGTACATTTATGGTTCATGGTCATTCTGCTCACGTTTTATTTGATTCTGGCTCTACCTGTTCCTTTGTGTCAAAATTATTTGCGAAAAACCTAGATAAACCTGAAGAAGAATTGACTTATGTGTTGTGTGTATCTTCACCTATGGGAAATTCCATGATCTGTACTTCTGTCTATTCTGCTTGTGAACTCCTCATTGGAGATATCCGTGTATATGCTAATCTATTACCACTTGATATGACTTCTTTTGATATTATTCTGGGGATGGATTGGTTGGGTGAATATAGTGCCACTATCGACTGTCTAACAAAGCAAATCAAATTCCACCCTCCAGGGCAATCAGAATCTACTTTTCAGGGGCAAGGAGTGACTTCTCCACCGTATGTGATTTCTGCAGCTAGGGCTTGTAAATTAATTCAGAAAGGGTGTCAAGGGTACTTATGTAGTGTTTTGGAAGGGACAACAACGAATGAGAATATTGGTGCGATTCCAGTTGTCTGTGAATTTCCGGACGTCTTTTCGAAAGAATTGCCAAGAGAATTAGTGGACCGTGAAATCGAATTCACGATTGAAGTGCTACCGGGAGTCCAACCCATCTCTAAAACCCCGTATCAAATGACGCCAGCTGAAATGAGGGAATTGAAGATTCAATTGCAAGATTTATTGGATAAAGGGTTTATCTGCCCAAGTGTTTCTCCGTGGGGTGCACCAGTCCTGTTTGTGAAAAAGAAAGATGGAACACTTCGATTATGTATAGATTACCGGGAGCTTAATAAAGTAACAATCAAGAATAAGTATCCCTTACCACGGATCGACGATTTATTTGATCAATTACAAGGATCACAGGTCTTTTCTAAGATTGACTTACGGTTCGGATACCACCAATTGAAAGTTAAAGCTGATGATGTTGAGAAGACAGCTTTTCGAACCCGGTACGGTCATTATGAATTTTTAGTTATGCCCTTTGGAGTTACAAACGCACCAGCAGCATTTATGGATCTGATGAACCGTGTCTTCAAACCTTATCTGGATGAGTTTGTAGTGGTCTTTATTGACGACATCTTTATTTACTCAAAGAATGCAGAGGTCCATGAAAATCATCTTTGCTTAATCCTTCAAACCCTCCGAGAAAAGAAGTTGTACGCGAAGCTAAAGAAGTGTGAATTTTGGCTACATGAAGTGACATTTCTGGGGCATGTTATAACTAAGGAAGGAGTCTCTGTTGATCCAAACAAGATTGAGGCGATTGTAAACTGGCCGACCCCGACGAATGTGACTGAAGTGCGTAGTTTCATGGGATTAGCCGGCTATTATCGGAGATTTGTTCAGGATTTTTCTAAGATTGTTGTACCACTCACACAGTTGACTAAAAAGGGAGTTGTATTTGAATGGACGGAACCGTGGAAATCTGCCTTCCAAGAATTAAAAATGAAGTTGACTACAGCCCCGGTCCTTGCCCTACCGTCTGGTACTGAGGGATTTGTGATTTGCAGCGATGCATCACATAAAGGACTTGGTTGTGTGCTTATGCAAAGTGGAAGAGTTATTGCTTATGCTTCTTGCCAGCTTAAGTCCCATGAGAAGGGTTACCCCACGCTTGATCTTGAGCTAGCTACAGTCGTTTTTGCTTTAAAGATTTGGTAGCATTATCTGTATGGAACTACTTGCGACATTTATACCGACCATAAAAGTCTCAAATACATTTTTACCCAAAAGGAGTTGAATATGCGTCAGCGGCGATGGTTGGAGCTTATTAAAGATTATGATTTACAGATCCACTATCATCCCGGTAAAGCCAACACGGTGGCAGACGCACTTAGTCGGAGAAATATGGGGAATTTGGCAAGTTTATTGACAGGGGAAAAGAAGTTGATGAATGAGCTGAATAAGATGGGGGTCGACTTGGCGATGCATGGTCAAGGAGCAACAATGGCAACAATCAGGGCTCAACCGACATTACTTGAGGAGATTAAAATACGCCCAATGGAGGATGGAGCTTTAAAGAAAATACGTGATGAAATGGAGACAAAACCGAAACTGGGGTTCACTTTGACAGATTCTGTGCTTAAATTTCAAAACCGAATATGTGTTCCTAATGTGTTAAAACTTAAACGGAAATTGATGGAAGAAGCACATGCCTCAAAAGTTTCAATGCATCCAGGAAGTACTAAAATGTACCGGGATTTGAAGATAAATTTTTGGTGGCCAAGTATGAAGAAAGAAATCGCAAAGTTTGTTTCTAAGTGTTTGCAATGTCAGCAGGTAAAAGCAGAGCATCAGAGACCCGCAGGATTATTACAACCCCTTCCAATTCCGGAGTGGAAATGGGAACATCTGATCGTGGATTTTGTTGCAAGCTTACCACGAACACCCCGAGGGATGAATTCTATATGGGTCATTGTCGACCGATTAACAAAGTCCGCCCACTTCCTGCCTGTGAAGACCTAGTATAATGCCGATAAACTTGCTGTGATCTATGTGAATGAAATTATAAGGCTTCACGGTGTTCCAGTTTCAATTGTGTCAGATAGAGATCCCAAATTTGTTTCGAGGTTCTGGCAAGGTCTACAGAATGCAATGGGTACAGAATTAAAGTTTAGCATAGCTTTCCACCCTCAAACAGATGGACAATCCGAGAGGACGATTTAGACGCTAAAGGATATGCTTCGAATGTGTGTTCTGGATTTTCAGGAAAGTTGGGAAACTCATCTGCCGTTGGTTGAGTTTGCATATAATAACAGTTACCACTCGAGTATTGAAATGGCACCCTATGAAGCCCTGTATGGAAGACCGTGTCGTTCTCCCGTGTGTTGGGCTGAGGTTGGAGATAGGCCCTTGTTAGGGCCAGAGATTGTCCAGTTGACAACTGAAAAGGTTAGAATTATTCGAGAAAGATTGAAAACTGCTCAAAGTAGACAGAAAAGTTATGCGGATAACTGGCGCAGAAATTTGGAGTTTGACGTGGACAGTCATGTTTTCGTGAAAGTTACCCCAATGAAAGGACACCCAAGATTTGGAAAAAGGGGTAAGCTGACACCCCGATATGTTGGTCCATTTCAGATCTTAGAAAAAGTGGGTCCAGTAGCCTACCGAGTTGCCCTTCCGCCACATATGAGCCAAATTCATAATGTGTTTCACGTTGCTATGCTCCGAGGATAGCTCCCGGATCCATCACATATTATCGATTATCACCAAATTATGCTGACTGATAAGTTAACATACGAGGAAAAACCAATTCGAATTTTGGACCGTCAGGTGAAACAGTTACGGAACCGGGAAATTCCAATGGTGAAAGTGGAGTGGCAAGAGCACTACGGAACCGAGGCAACGTGGGAAAAGGAAGAGGAAATGCAACACCAATATCCGCATCTGTTTACGTCCTAAGGCTCTAATGGGATTTTCTGTGAAATTTCAATTTAGGATGCTTAAACGATTAAATTTTGTCTTATTATAAACATAAATATCTATATCAAGCTTTAAGATGTCTTTGACTTGAAAATACCTCCTGTGTGCAACCTAGAAGAGGGAATTTCGTTAGAGTTGGAGAGAAGGCCTTCAAGTGAAGGATTTGGGGAATTTTGTGAAGATTGCTTAGATTAAACTCAAGGTATGAAAATTTACTTTATCTAGCCACTCTCTCTCTTGATTATGTTTGGGAATTCTCTTTGTGTTTGGTAAATTAAGGTAGATGTTGAGAGTTTATGTGGTAATCTATGTTAAAGAACCAAATTGAGTTATGGGGGGGAAATCTACATCTTATTTCCTTGTTGTTTCATGAGAATATTCAATTATGAGTTTGAATGAGAAATAATTATGTAAACCCAAAATAATGAGAATTTTGGGAAGGTTATAATTGATGTTTATGTTTGATTCATGTATGATGCATGTTTGATTTATGAGGGTTTCTCATCAATTGGTTACTTTGACACTTTATTTGGGTGTTGTATGAAATTATACTTCAACCTTTGGTTTTATATCATCATCCCATGGAATTATGTTAGTATCATGTGTTATGTTTTCTTTGAACATGAAGAACTTGAATATAAGAATGGAATTTGAGAAAGGGATGGCTTGTTGAAGCTTCTAATCTAGTTTAATTTGTTATGTTCAAGGTGGAATCTATGTTATGGTAATGTTAGGTTGAAATATTGCATTAATCTAACCTTGGATTGCATGTAAAATGAGGTGTTGTTGCTAAATTTTGAGTTGAAGTCGAGCTGTCCCAAATCTGGGCCACGACCGCTCGAGCGGTGGACATGACCGCTCGAGCGGGAAAATCGACCTCCCAGCAGTTTTGTGACTTATACAGTCCGCTCGAGCGGCCAAAGTGGCGCTCGAGCGAGGGGCTTATTTTCAAAAAAAAAATGTTTTTGTTCAGTTTTGCGTGCTTGACTCTCTGGTATTTTTAGAATATTTTTCTGATGATTTTAAGATGGTTATAAATTCATGTGAAGTGTAATGACACAGGGAATAGTTCCTCAATGATTTAAGAAGAAAGAGAACTAATTTAGAAGTTATGATTGTGTGCAGGGCACACTCCGGAAGGAACTAGCACGCCATCACAACGCTGTGAGTAATAGTACATTGAACGTACATTTAGTTATCGCTAATGTCTGTTAATAATTTTCTGTTTTCCGTCAGCTACGACATTTTCTTTTGTATTGATTAGAACTCGATGGAAATGAAATGTTGAAAAGATATACATACATTTGTATGTTCTGGGCCGAAAGGCTATTCTGGGCCGAAAGGCCGTTCTGATAATTCTGGGCCAACAGGTCGTTCTGAAAGTAAAACCATGTCAGACTCACTTTTGTATTATGCATTGTGGTAAAATTGGCTATTAAACTACTCAAGCATTATTATTCACTAAGCTTGTCTCACTCTGTAATTATATTTGATTCTGTAGGAAATCAGCTTGGAGGTCAGTCCTTACATCATCATCATCTATCTTTTGTTAGCTTAAGGACAACTAGGCACTTGGAGAAGCCCTTTGCATGCTAGGGTAGTTTTGCTAGTCTTAGTCATTTTGTACCCATATTTTGTTGGCCAAAGTTGTTTGTATATAATATTTTGTATGCCCAAACTCTGGGTTGGACTTGTAAATGTGTATGTAACTTAATCCCGGGTGCATATTCATTTTATGCTTAATTTCGAGACGTGGTCCTGGCGTTTTGGTAGTCGCTCAATGGGTGTGTCTTCATGTTATTTTATTATAAACGCTTCCATTCAGGCTCCGAATATCATTTATAGCAGGTTAAGTGTCTGTTTCTGATTAGGTCATGCCCAAAACCTTTAGGGGCGGGTTAGGGGCGTGACAGGACTTGATTCTCAGTCTTTAGAATGTCCATGGATTCCTACAATGCCCGGCCATTTCACGAGCTAAGGCGCCCATGGCCTGCTGAGCCACTAGTTCAGCCACTTTGGCTTGACCAACTTCATACCTGTGCCGAAATGTCATCCGGTATTGGCATCTCTTGCCGCCTAGGCCTACCGCGCCTACCACCACGACCACGTCCTGACATCCTAATGAAGGTAACAAAAAAAGATTAGCACATTTACAAATGTGCCGAAACTAACTCACTCGCGTCCTAATACGATGGACAACAGTAATTCAATCCATATAAGCACGTATCCACATAAACACATACGAATTTCAATTTTGAATAAAAATCGTCTCGTGGCACTGCCAGAGTTCCAATTAGAAATGACAGTGATCAAGTGCCTTTCTAACAGGACTCTTAGGAACCCGTGGACTTGACCAATATCTTAGAAATTAAATCTCATACCCATGTAGTCATATAAACATGTTATCACATAATCATACAATACACACTAACATCTCAACTAAGCGAAACAAACCCATTGTGCTAATTACCACTTCCCACGTATCCAAAGTATTCAAACCCAGTACGCTCTGATACCAAGTTGTAACGCCCCCCAAAAAATACATTAAATACATCCCATGGACGAAAAGATAATAGAAATAATGTGCTTTCATACATCAGAGTTCGTATACAAAAGATAACATATGTGATATACATTCATAAATGATCATCCTGAATCTACAACATGTGTTACAGTGATAGGGGAATTAAAAACTAAACAGGTAATAATATGTCCTACAGGCTTACATCTTTCCAAGTCGTTGCTTGGTTACAACCAAAGTGAGCCTAACTCAATACAATTAAAGCCCCTAGCTATAGAAAGAATACAACAAAAGAAATAAGCTTTTGCTCCCAAAAGTCTTTCCCCGCTATTGCCTTGGCAAAGATATGTCACCAACACCTGAAAATGATTTTTCTCAAATAGGGTGAGTCACAACCCAGTAGGAATAAGCTAACACAGTAAATGAGATTTAACAAAGATATAAGTACAATGTGCATATACAATGTCTGTGACAAAACATTCACATTTGTATACAATCATAAAATACGAAGTTTATATCTTATTCCATTTTCTTTCAATTCGTTTCAATCCATGAGTCAATTTAATTATCATTCAACAACCCAACTGAGACTACAACTCAGTGGCTAACAAAATCAACACAATTCCCACATAAACACTTCAATTTGCCATTTTACGAAAATTTCGTCCGCGGGATCGGCAACCATGTATACGCGCGGTTTCAGGACTTTCATCTTGGACACACAAGCCAACTTAATTTCAATGGAGTCCATCCTCTATCTCCTCCCAAACAATAGAGTGCATCCCCTTTCTCCTCCCAAACAATCATACATATACAATGTATTTAAACTTAGTCATATTCAATGACAATCAACAAGAGATTAGTTTCAATCTACCTAATCCTCATGCAATTTCTACAACAATCATAGCCATCCTTCACCGATAGCCCAATGCAGATATTTCTAAACAGATATTTAACCTCAAAACAAATAAATCATCTAAATTTCCATTGGTGTGAGTTAATAATACACATCTAGCTCCACCATTTATATTATCATCTATTCAATTTCACACTTACAATGTCAATTCCATTTATTTAAATAAATAAATATTTGAATAAAAATTAGGGTAAACTTTCCTGTTTCCCAACTATTAACTCAAAATGCCAAAATCAACTATTTTACCACCACACAACCTCATATTCAAACCCACAACCATTTTTACAACATAAACATGAAAATTCCATTTTTTTTTATTTCACACCTAAACCCTAGGTTTGTCCAAATTACACCCAAAACCCACCATTGTTACACAATGACCAAATAACTAAGTTAAGAACCATATGAAAGCATTGAAAATCCCTACCTCAAGTGTAGAAGCCCAAAGGAGGAGTGGAGAAACTTCAAAGATGTCGAAACCAAACTCTATTCGGATGTAATGGTAGCTTTTGAGATGCTCCACCTTTTTATCAAATAGAGTAGGGTAGAGAGATCCTTAGATCCTAGTGGATTTGTAGAGAGAAGTTAGATTTTAGAGAGAGAAGGGGTTGGTCTAGGATTTTTAAGTGAAAAGATGTAACGCCCTGACCCTTTACACGTCATCGATATTGTCCGCTCTGGGCTACGCCCGCACGGATTTGTTCTTCCCAGCGGGTCACCCATCCTAGAACTACTCCAGCCTAAGCACGCTTAACTGGGGAGTTCTAATAGGGATTTCACTATTTGGGAAAAGGCCTCGGTGCTATATAAGGGTCCAGGTTTTTACTTTTATAGCCCAGAAACTCCCCCTCCATTCCCGATGTGGGACACCGGGGCCTTACAATCCACCCCCCATAAGGCTGCACGTCCTCGTGCAGTAGCCTGCCAGCTCGCAAGCCCGCCCACATGCACCGAGAGACGCCAGGGGCCCACACTCGGTACTCCGGAGAGTCGGCTCTGATACCATTTGTAACGCCCCGACCCTTTACATGTCATCGATATTGTCCGCTTTGGGCCACGCCCGCACGGATTTGTTCTTCCCAGTGGGTCACCCATTCTAGAACTACTCCAGCCTAAGCACGCTTAACTGGGGAGTTCTAATAGGGATTTCACTATTTGGGAAAAGGCCTCGGTGCTATATAAGGGTCCAGGTTTTTACTTTTATAGCCCAGGAACTCCCCCTCCATTCCCGATGTGGGACACCGAGACCTTACAAAAGATATCAAAAAATGATGTAAAAATAAGCTGCTACGAATAGATATATGCCAGGCTCGCTCGAGCACAAGAGTTGTCACTTGAGCGACCAGACACAATAAGTGGCCTAGCTCGAGTGCAGAATACATACTCCCAAAAGTTTTACAGACATACATCGTCGCTGTCACAACCCCATTCTGCCCCTAGTAGAATGGTGCCATGATGGCCAGTAATCCGAGATTACCAAAGGCCAACTTACAAAGTTTCACACAATCAGAGTATACATATGGGGCTTACATGTGCGGAAACAATAAATTTAAATCTAAGTAGTCCATAAGAGTTGTGCATAGATCAAATGAAATAACATACATCTTAACATGGTTTTACAACTTGAATACAAATAAAATATAATACATGTTACATCTTGATCAAAGGGCTTCTCAAGCCGAAATATACAAAAGATATGAATAACAAACTAAGAAGCATAATATTCAAGATGATGCAAAACATGAATCAAAACATCTTGCACATAACATTTTAGGCATCACTACCTTCTTGCTCGTCACCTACATATATATAAAGAGGAGGGTAAGCTTGGATACTCAGTGAATGATATAAGTAATAAAGGTTTGAATGAATGATATCCGAGATCTTTATCAAAACAATACATATCATAGCTTGTACAAAATCAAGGGATGAACCAAGTTCATCTATCAAAGTCTTTCAAAGCTTCAAGAGATGCTTACTAGCATCAACATAATACAAGGGATGGCATTCCTGACAAAACAAGGGAATAATCGACCCAGAATCGATTAGACAAACCCACCCGTACAAGACCGTCGGTAGCAAGGGAGATATCTCAAACAAGGGTACTAGTTGCATTATAGTCCCCTAGTACTAAGGACTTTCCAAGAATGTCATCAAAATAAAGGTAATACTTGATACAAAAGCTAATGGATAATCATTCATACTTGATCAAATACTTTTCCAAAACAAAACAAAACAAAATAAAGCTTTTATCTAAACATTATAACATAGCTTTATTAGAAAGACCACTCACTTAGCTCTTCGGGTGTGGGGATTAAGGCAAGGATCCAAGACCTACAAATACATAATAAAAGTCCACTGAATGCACTTCAAGAAGACAAGAAGGAATGCTCAAAGATGGTTATGAAATGCACTTTCAAAACAAACTTTACATGAGGGAAAAGATCCTGACATTTCTTTCCAAAACCAAGTCAAGACAAAGCAAAACATGTGTTGGGAGTCAAAACACTGTTTTTCTTCTAAGGAAAACATGCTGGGTACTAACCAGGTCTCGGAATGGATCCACAGAGATGATTTAGGCCAAAATGGCCTAGCGGGGTGAACTCAGGAAGTCTTGGCCGAGGTCCCACACCTCTTGGTTGAGGTTCCACACCTCTTGGCCGAGGTGTGATCTCCTAGGCCTAGGTGTGAGGCTGCCTGCCGAGATGTTACAAGGTGCCGGCAAGGGTGTACCATAGTCGGCCTAGGTGTCTGGTGATCGGCCTGAATGTGCATGCAAGATAGGCTAAGGTGCAAGTAATCATGCAAGGTAGGCCAAGGTGAGATAGGATGCTTGGCCTAGGTGTGAGGTCTAGGCAAGAGTGGGTCTCAGTGACCACACTTAGGCAAATGAAGTCTGGAAATCTAGGTTCCTCTTGAAGAACATGAATGCCAAAATCATAACTTCTTATTCAAAATCTAAGATTTCATGTTATGAGTTCAAAAACATGGACCTGGGTACCCATACTTGAAGATTTCATCAAACAAACATAAAAACATAGGACTTGGTATAAACTTTCGGATCAAAACATGGTTTTCTTTCAAGAACACAAGAACATCACTTTCTCTCTCTAAAACAAACATTAAATCAATGCATGGCT